TCTCTCTCTCCCTCCCTCCCTCCCTCCCTCTCTCTCTCTCTCTGGAAGTAGCATCTCTTATCCCTAGAGATGGAAGCCTGACCAGAAAGAAAACCTAGTAGGCCAGTACACAGCCAAGTCCCTTTCCTTCCCAACTCTAGTCAAGAGGGAGTTGACAATGCCTGGATGCCCCAAGGCCAGCTGTGCCCTCTGTGCAGCTGAGGGGTTCGCTTGCAAGGCACATCCAACCACACACCACGCTGAGGAAAGTTGTCTACAGGTACAGCACCAGCCAATACTCAGGAGACCACAAGGAGGGAGTGAGGACCAAAAAGAGCCAAGAGAGGGAAGCCACTGGAGCAAGATGAGATTCCAGGATGTCTGGGTCAGTCTGGCCCAGTACCACCTAGTGATACGACAAGGCACATAACCATGCAGGCCATGCTCCTGGGTCAAGGATGATGGGTCCCTTTGTATCTGTTTTCAGTAGAAACATGGACACACAACACAGCCTAGAGACCCTAATTCTTCACTCAGCCTGCATGAAGCTGGAGGCTGCTTCCTATCAGCAATGTACAAGCTCCTAAAGATGTTAGTTCTTCAAAAACCAAAGGATAGAAAACGGGGGGGGGGAGACGACAACTTGGGCCATTCCCTTGTATACTGAGGCAAGCTGCCTATTGGTGGTAGATGGTAGGAAGTACCTCCCAAAATGTACCTCTTCCTGTAATGCATGAAACCCAGTGGGGGAAAATATGGGAGGGCGCCGATGGGAAAGGGGGTATAAAGATCTCTAAGATGCTGTGTATGAAATATGAAAATTTTAAAAAAGTTTAAAAAAGGCTTTAGATTTAATCACCAGGAAAGCACACACTCACACACACACACACACACACACACACACACACACACACACACACTTCCATGCAAAGAGAACCCTGGGGGACCTCATTGTTTGAGAGCTTAGCATCAGGCCACTGCACCTCTCCTGTGCACTAGGAATCAGGAGAAAGTAGCTGGCCCTACTGGGCAGCAGTATAGGGCCCAGTCCTTCCTCAGGGCCAGGATTCCATTTCCCACGACTAGTCACCCCCTTGTCCAGTTCTAGGTGAATCCTTGCATGTGAGTAGGATGGGAGAGGGGTCGAAGCAGAAGAGCACGATCCATAAAAAAGAAGGGATTTGTGTTTTCTCTGAACTAAGACTTTTCTTGAGTGTTTTTTTTTTTCTCGCTCTCTGAAAAAAGCAAAGGTGTTGGGAACCCCAAAAACTCATGCCCTCTAGGCATTTCTCTTTTTTCCAAATGTCCCCTCTATGGCCAGAACACTGTTCCCTAGGTTCCTAACCTCTCAGTCTGCAGTCTCTGCTCCTGGCTGGCTTCTGCCCTTAAAGGCCAGCTTCTGGCCGCTCCGGTGTAATGCCAGCTCCTGGCAATGGCCAGGGCCCTGAATTCCACATTCAACTCATCCCAGCCCTGCACTTTGCTGGGATCGATTGTGGGGGTGGTGCATGTTCACAGCCTTGCCCACTCTGCACTGCCCCAGGCACAATGGCCTCCACCCACCAAGCACACACCAGCTGGGCCTCCTCCTCTGTGCTGGGGTGCAGAACCCACTGGGCCTAGGCACCCCGCCGGGCCCTCAGTCCACTCTGTGCCTGCCCCTAAGCTCAGCTGCATGGAGTGGGTTTGAACGCTGGGTCCAATTATGCTTCATTTTGGCACACAATGGAGGGGCCACATTTTCAAGTTTTCTAAGGCACTCGAAGCAGTGCAAACAGTAAAGCTTTAGGTTGTGGCGACTTGTAATTACCCTCGGTCCAAAGATGCCAAGTATTCAGGAGACATCGGGTGCGCTTTCTCCACCACCCAGGACCCTGCACAATCGCATCTGGGGTGGAGATAGCCTTCATGAGAGCTGGGCAGCTTTGCCCTCAAACATTTGAGAGACTGTTTGATGACTGAAGCTTGGGGAGAAGGGGGTGTCTGGACTGTCCTTTAAAAACTTATGTTAGCTTTAACCGAAGCATCTACCATTCCAGAGAAAGTAAGGGGAAACAGCGACGCACACAAAGCCGGCAGGGAGTGATGTTATCCTGAGAAACAGGCCTCCTCCCTCCCGCCCACCTTTGCCTTAGAAAAGACCTTTTTTGTTTTTTTTAGCTGGAAGCCTTCAGGTGAAAATAAAGCCACAGCAACCACAGGGGGGGAAAATGTAGTCTTCTTCAGGGTTAACTGCAGAAGACAAGCTTGTGCGCCCTGGCCAATCAGATGCGCCGCTGCCAGCTATAACATGGTGCGAAAGGCAGCCTGTCTCACAAGCTCTCCAGCCTTGCTACCATTTAAAATCAGGCTCTTTTTGTCTTGTAATTGCTGTCTCGCGACCCAACTCCGATGTGTTCCGTTACCAGCGAGCGGCAGCCTGCCTTCGCAGCCCCTGTCTGGGTGGGGATCCGAGGCAAGTCCCCTGCAGCAGCGGCAGGCAAGGTTATATAGGAAGAGAAAGGAGCCACGCAGCGCGGGAGGGAGCGAACGAGCCGAGCAGGGAAGGGAGAGCCGAGCGCAAGGAGGAGCGCACACGCACACACCCGCGCGCACCCGCTCGCGCGCAGACCGCGCGGGGACAGCTCGCAAGTCCTCGGGTTCCCGGAACGAGATGCTGCTGCTGGCGCGATGTCTTCTGGTGGCCCTCGCCTCCTCGCTGCTGGTGTGCTCCGGGCTGGCATGCGGGCCCGGCAGGGGGTTTGGAAAGAGGCGGCACCCCAAAAAGCTGACCCCTTTAGCCTACAAGCAGTTTATCCCCAACGTAGCCGAGAAGACCCTGGGGGCCAGCGGCAGATACGAAGGGAAGATCACCAGAAACTCCGAGCGATTTAAGGAACTCACCCCCAATTACAACCCCGACATCATATTTAAGGATGAGGAGAACACGGGAGCTGACCGGTTAATGACTCAGGTAGAGACCCATCGCCGGCGGGGAATGGGTTCCATCCCTGGAGGGGTTGCATGTAGCCAGGCAGCCAGCCTTGCTTTGGTTGCTCCCGGGCAGGTATGAAGGCGGCCTGGCCCTCAAGTTCCCCACCCACCTGCCCACCTAGCAACGCTCCTCTTCCGGGAGGAGAAAGGAGGTGAAGAGTCCGGCAGGAAGTTTAGGGCTGGGTGGGGTAGGGGCAACAGAAGATGGGGCCTATTGTGGCTCTCATTTAGTCTCCCCGGATGGCCTCCTCTATCCTGGCTTTTAACTTGGGGAGACTTCACTCTGGGGGTGTCTGCCCTTCCCAAGTGGAGACTGGAAATGGAGATGCCCCTATAAACTCCTAGGGGCCTCTGGATCACAGTGCCAACATAACCTTAGGCACTGTAACTCGCAGCTCCACAGTTCCCTTTTATTTTTCCCCTAAGACCACCCCCACCCTTTACCCCCACCACCACCACCACCAAAGAACCATAGTTCGGAAAGCCAGGGAGCAGGCGCTCAGTTTATCCCCCACTGTATGCAGCTGGCCTGTGATTGCACCGTCCCCAATTGTGCGGGTCAGAGGCAATGTATTGATATTTCTTTAAGGATGCTCTTCCATTCTCCGGATCCCGAGGTACCTGGGGGGGCGGGGGGGGACGGGACTTGGAGCTTATCGGCATTGCATCACATTAATTTTCAGCCTACTTGCATGAGAATTGGAAGCGAATAAATATTAGTAAGAGCGAAGGTGGGTGGACGGAGAGCGAAGCAAAACATGAAATCTCTCCTCTCCCATCTCCTTTGAGACTTCTGGGCTGCCAATCTCCCGGCCAATTCTAGACTTTCTGAAACTCCGTGCACGAATGACTGGAGCTAGAAATATAGGTCAACATCCCCTTTACTGCCCTATTAAAATATTCGAGTCCTACCTTTAGGGCTAGGTGCGCCAAGAGGCTGGCGGAGTGGCGCTGGCTGGGCGCAAGTGCAGGGGGCGGGGGCTGGCGGGAGCGAGCGCGAAGCTGCCTGCGCGCCGCGCCGCGCCGCTCGCCGCCGGGTCCCGGTAGGCTGCG